CTGTCAGCGTGACAGCTCGTGAGGAGAGAAATGCCGATAACAGGCATTTCCCTATTTACATGCAATCAGCTATGATTGGACACAGCTGATCACATGACGGAGCCTAATTCTTCGGATCTTTCCATTGATCGGTGATCCGCTGTGTCCAAAGGACACAGTGCACCACCGATCGCCACACATGCACGGTTAGAGCGGGTGGACATCAAATAAAGAACGTCTTCCCAGAACGAGAGAACCGTCTTGCACCCGTCATTACCTTATATGGCAGGCGGGAGATGGTTAAAAGCTGTGCTTGGCAAAAGGCAAACATATTTGAGTTTCACCCTCAGAAGAACGTAAATTAGAAAATTGGTAGGTAGACCCTGGAATTTTAGAATGTTGTCAAGTAGAATACACCAACATTAATGTAAAAATATATATATCCTGTCTTGGGAGTATGCATGTGAAACCGCTGTTTTTTGGACCACTTGCTCCCTGTGCATTCCTCTGTGGTTTAAATATTTAAACTGAACAAGGCCCTGCACAAACTGAAAATTAAACATCCACTATGGCATGCTTTGCATTAAAGCAGCCCATTTATTTTGAATTGGCTGCCAAAGCAGCTACAACCAGACCTGTACTTTTTTTCCCCCAATAGACTCCACCACAATGTGGTGCACTGCAACTCATGTGCATTGAGTTCCTCCCTCATTTTCAGTTAATAGAAAATTCTTTAGTTGGGGGTGCTTGATTTCTAATATTCATTTGAACTTGTGTTATTGATTTTACACTTGAAAGCCAACAATGGCAAGGTTTTTAAATTACCAGCAAAAAACTATGTGCTGTCAGTAATTTGAGTTTGGCAAGTAAAGAGGTTCTGGAGTTGGAAACCCTGCTCTTGCTCTTAGTATTGACATGGATACATCAGCTAATAGTGTTCTGCATACTGTACATTTCCTGTGTATAAAGTCAATATAAGAATGTCCAAATATATTAAGCTATGATTAGCTTTCCAAAAAACATTTTTGTAATGAATCCATATTCCCTTTCAATGTGGAGTGTTTGACATCACTGGGACACCTGTAATGGAACCACTTCCTGCCACTGCTGGTCACAAAATCAACTGAATTTTTACACCAGCACAATATTCACTTCTAACAAATATCTGCACTAAGGTGGCCTTAAAAAAAAAAAAAAAAAAAACATAACTTCGTATACTGGCTATACAATAATTATAAAATTTAAAGTGATCTCTGGCACACAACTAGCCTGAGACACTTGTTCAGGATACGTGGAGATCCATTTTAAAGCATTGCTTACACGCTTGCTGGATTGTTCATTATTTCTCTGAGATCCAGCAAGGAAGGGGATGATAGGAGTCAGCTCTGCTTGACATTACATATTCTGTGCTGGATTCTGCGTATAATCCTATGCTAGATCTAGGAAAGGAGGTGGTGGTGACGTGTTACCACTGATCGGCATAAACTCAAGCAAAGCATCTCACCACTGCAGCAAAAGATTAATTTCCCATCACACTCTAAGCAGGCGACTGGCTAAGGATTTAGCACTCCTACCTAGCAAAATATAGGTCTTGAGCATTCTTTGTTTTGCTGGGTCCAGCCAAATCCAAATGTCCTATAACAATAATACAATATGACCTTAGCTCATTCAGGGGCACATACTAAAAAGTGAATGGTTCTAATCTATACAAATTCTATTTTCACTGTGTAAGGCTCGGCACTTCTGGGCTTCTCGCCTAGGCAAGAATGACATACCCCGTCTGCCTGCAGCCTCCTGGGACAATCACATCATCCATCTGAGGCTTTGGGGAAATCTAGAACATGCATATGTGCCATGGTGTGACATCAGTGGGCTGACTGCAAAAATCCAAAAGACAGCTGGCTCCCAATGCTGTAAGAAGAGAAGATGGTGGTGTAGGACTGACTGTGCCCCAAAGCAGCAGTGGATTATAGTGGAACAATGCTGTATTTGCAGGGCATGTGAGTATGTTTATAGAGGATTACCCAAGAAACAAGGTGGGGGGGGGGGGGGGATGGGGTTCTCCTGGCTTGGTAAAAAGTGTAAAGTTTTTTTTTTTTTTGTTCAACCCAGCGGGCTGAACGAAAATAACAGAGGTTGTGCACGATAGTGCAGCGATCTCCCCGCAATTATGTTCCGACAGGGGGACTGCACCCCAATCTCCCACCCCCCGACAGAACACACTCAGATGCTGGTTTTCCAACCTGGTCATGAGACCAGCTTCCTCAAACAGGGAGCTGTACACATGGGCCAAAAGTCAGCTAGTTCCCGCTGAAACAACTGGTTTCAGATGAATTTCAGCTTGTGTGCACCCAGCTTGCCTACTTTTAACTGTACTCCTGCCGCAGCTGGACACCCCCATAATCTCTGTGCTAATACCGCCTTACTGGAAGCACCTCCCCCTACACACAATCCATCCCCCACATGACAGTGAACCCTAAGCTGTGGGAGACAGGAGGTGTATGATGTATTATCCTATACCCCAACTACAGCTTTGTTTTAATGGGGATCTGGTGTTGGATCAGTGGGGACTAAATTTAAGAGCAGTAGCTAACTTATGGTGCCTGATACCAAGCCAGAATATACTATACACTTTTACTCCGAGTGCCTCTACAGATTACAGAACAGCCAGTACTAAACTTGACCATTCATCAGGCAACATTAACATGAACACCAAGACCAGGAAATCTGTATATTTTTGTAACCTGTGTATTTTACCGATATCCTGCTGTATGCAGGGACACTTTAGGTAAATAAATCATATATAAAATCTGAGATTGTGCATTTAGAGCCCAGCAGCAGTCTTGTCTACCAATATGCACATATTTATGTATGAACACAGATATTTATTTTGCAAAAGACATGCGCTGATCTACAAAAGAGGTAGAATGGTCTAACTGAATCTCTTCCAGAAGATTTGAGTCTTTGATACATGTACATGCAGATTTCATCATGGCAAATACAATACAAAAGACCTAAAAAATTGCTTGAATTTTTGCATACTGCTTGAACCTCAAGTCACCTTATAAAAAAGGATCAGTTTTGCCCAGTCTGTCTCATTGTCATATTCACTCACCTCTACAACACATACATTCTCTTCTAGTGGTTTGCTTTGTATGGGAGCAATGACCCATGTGTGCACGAAAGGTCATCTGATAACCTTCCATTGGCCACTGAGTCTCCTCTCACAAGCTCACAGAGGTTATTTTCCATCCATGCAGTACTGTTTGTCTTGACATATTTTTCTGCTGCTGATAAAGGCTGGTAACATTTCTCCTCACACCAAAGTACTAGAACGAACACAGTTTATTTTTTATAAAGGAGGTTCTTTATTGCTTTCATAAACAAGTATAATACACTTACCTCTTTCTATTAAGTACAGAAAGCATTACTGAAATTAATATTTGAAGACCCTTAACAATACTAAAGTTGAGATACTGTTTATGTGAATTCTTCATATAAACAGGGACAATAGTTACACAGCCTACCCCAAAGGTCTTCTATTGATGGCTTGCTCTGCAGAATCATTTGACTAGATCAGAACATTTCTAAAAACAATGAAACCATTATATAAAAACATTTCATGGAACGCTGATACTACTAACTAGGGATTTTCTACCAGAAAAAAAATACATTCTACACCCCAATTTAATAAGCATGGCTTCAGCTTGGCTAAATCCACATTTCCTTTGAATGGTATGGTATGTTAACCAAAACAGTGACAGATGTGGTAAAAAAAATAAAAATTATATATTAATATCCTGCTTCTGTATCCTGTGATATTGTAGCCATTGGTCTGCTCTCAGCCCAGGGTGCTATCCTAGCTGTCCTCCCATAATACATGTCTGCATGGAGATATACAAAGGAGCTACCCTCTCATTAATACACATCTACATGGAGGTGTACAAAGAGTGCTGTCCCAGCTGCCCTCCCATTAGAACACACCTGCACATAGGTATAGCAAGGCCACGGTTTCAGCTACCATCCACTTAATACACATCTGTATGGAACAGGGGCGGACTGACCATTTGGAAACTCAGGCACTGCCCGAGGGCCCGGGGTCAGTAGGGGGCCCCATGAGATGCCCCTTGTACTTTTTTCATAGGCTTTTTTTGAGTTTGAGTTTGGGCAAGGACACAGGGCCCCATGATCCCTTACTGCCTGGGGGCCCCATGAGTTGTCAGTCCGCCCTTGGTATGGAGGTATACAAAAGGACACTGTCCCAGCTGTCCTCCCCATAATACACATCGGAATGGAGATATAGGAAAGGTACTGTCCCAGCTGTCTTCCACTTAATACACATTTACTTGGAGGTAAATGAGAGAAGCTGTCCCAGCTGCCCTTCCCCCTAAAACATCTGCATGGAGGTATACGAAAGGCAAAACCTCATCCGCCCTCCCCTCAACTGACATCTGCTAGGAGGTATGCAAAGGGTGCTCCCCTCCCCTTAATAGGTATTTTCAAAGAGGTATAGGAAGGCCACAGTCTCAGCTGCCCTCCCCTTAATACACATCTGCATGAAATATCCAAAGAAAAGTGTTCCAGCAGCCCTACCATTCTACACAGAGGTAAAAAAAAGGGTGTTGTTCAAGCTGCCCTTCCCTTCATACACATCTGCATGGAAGTATACAAATGAATGTGTTCCAAGTACCCTACCAAGGGTGCTGTCCTTGCTGCCCTACCCTTAATACACATCTGCATGGAAGTTTACAAAGGAAAGTGGTCCATCAACCCTACCATTGTACACATCTGCACAGAGGTATACAAAGGGTGTTGTCCAAGCTGCCCTTCCCTTCATACACATCTGCATGGAAGTATACACAGGAATGTGTTCCAACTACCCTACCCTTATACACATCTGAAAAAAATGTATACAAAGGGTGCTGTCTCAGCTGACATCCTCTTAATACACATCTACATGGAGGTATACAAAGGAGACTGTTCCAACTACCCTACCTTTATATACATCTGCACAGAGGTACATGAAGGGTGCTGTCCCAGCTGCCCTTCACTTAATTCACATCTGCATGCAGGTATGTGAAGGGTGCTACCCCAGATACCATCCCTTTAATACATATCTGCATTGAGGTATATGCAAATCTATGTCCCAGCTGTCTTCCCCTTATTACACACCTGCGTGGAGGTACATGAAGGGTGCTATCCCATCTACCTTCCTGAAGTCCACACCTGCGTGGAGGTACATGAAGGGTGCTATCCCATCTACCTTCCTGAAGTCCACACCTGCGTGGAGGTATATGAAGGGTGCTATCCCATCTACCTTCCTGAAGTCCACATCTGCGTGGAGGTATATGAAGGGTGCTATCCCATCTACCTTCCTGAAGTCCACATCTGCGTGGAGGTATATGAAGGGTGCTATCCCACCTACCTTAATGCAGTCCACATCTGCATGGAGGTATATGAAGGGTGCTATCCCACCTACCTTAATGCAGTCCACATCTGCATGGAGGTATATGAAGGGTGCTATCCCACCTACCTTAATGCAGTCCACATCTGCATGGAGGTATATGAAGGGTGCTATCCCACCTACTTTCCTGCAGTCCACATCTGCATGGAGGTATATTAAGGGTGCTATCCCATCTACCCTCCTGCAGTCCACATCTGCATGGAGGTATATTAAGGGTACTATCCCATCTACCCCCTGCAGTCCACATCTGCATGGAGGTATAAGCCGGGCAATGTACCAGCTGTTCTCTCCTTAACACACATCTGCATGGAAATATACAGAGAGTGCTATCCCCAACTAACTTCCTGCAATCCACACCTGCATGGAGGTATGTGAAAGGCAGCGTTTCAGCTGTCCACCCCATTACTAAACATCTGCATGGAGGTATATGAAGACCAGTGTTCCAACTGCCCTCTTGTTAAAACACACACACATGCATGGAGGTATATGAAGGGTGCTGTCCCAGCTACATTCCCCCTAATACACATCTGCATGGTGGTCTACAAAGAGTGCATTTCCAGCTAGCTTCCCGGTAGTACACATCTGCATGGCAGTCTACAAAGGGTGCAGTTCCATCTACCTTCCCCGTAGTACACATCTGCATGGCGGTCTACAAAGGGTGCAGTTCCATCTACCTTCCCCGTAGTACACATCTGCATGGTGGTCTACAAAGGGTGCAGTTCCAGCTACCTTCCCGGTAGTACACATCTGCATGGTGGTCTACAAAGGGTGCATTTCCAGCTACCTTCCCCATAGTACACATCTGCATGGCGGTCTACAAAGGGTGCAGTTCCAGCTACCTTCCCCGTAGTACATCTGCATGGCGGTCTACAAAGGGTGCATTTCCAGCTAGCTTCCCGGTAGTACACATCTGCATGGTCTACAAAGGGTGCATTTCCAGCTACCTTCCCCGTAGTACACATCTGCATGGCGGTCTACAAAGGGTGCATTTCCAGCTACCTTCCCCGTAGTACACATCTGCATGGCGGTCTACAAAGGGTGCAATTTCCAGCTACCTTCCCCGTAGTACACATCTGCATGGCGGTCTACAAAGGGTGCAGTTCCAGCTGCCCTCCTCTCAATACACATCTACATGGAGGTATGCGAAGGGCAGGGTTCCAGTCCCACATTTACATTTGCAGTATGGATCCAGAGGCGCTCCAGCACAGCATGGGTCTCGGCCATAACAATACAATATTAGAAGAAGGAGGCACAGCTGCTTAGAAGTCTCATCATAGAAGAGCCTGAAAACAAGTCCTGCTGTTGGGAATGTCAGAAACGTTTCTGTACTTGATCAAACTGGAAAAATCAGACGACATTTGTTGTACACTTGAATGTATACTTATCTGTCTCTTGGTATGCTACTGTAGTGGCACATATGTGACAACATAGATATATTTTGTATGTGTACAAGTGTCACCAATGAGAAAAGAAATCTTGCAAGCTTTGTGGTGTTGGGTCCTCCTCCCAGTCACATCAATCACCTTCCCATAGTCTGAAATGATAAAAACTAAACATGCAAACACACAGAACACTACTCCATCACACATAAAGCAGGACTAGGACAGCCCAGTGTATTTTATAGCAGCAGTCACAGCATAGAATATTAATAGAATAGAATATTCCCTTCTACACAAAAGGACAGCTTTGGATAAACATGGTGAACTCATAAGAAAGAAGTGAAAAGATTACCTGGCAATGGCTGCCTCCTGCCATCCCCTCAGTGCACACCATATGTTAGTCACATTGTATAAATTGTGTCCTCCACACAATTCCAGCTATGTAGTAGTCAGTCTCCTTTGCAGAGGTCTCCTGTCTGGCAGCTCTCCACCCCTCCTCCTCCTTCTATTTCTTCCTCGACACATTTTTATTTACCTTACCTCTCCATTCCCTGTCTTCTCCATCCATCCCTCCCTTTCTTCCTTCTCTTACTACAACACACCATTTTAGCACCTTCCCTGTCTCTGCTGCCAGTTCCCTCTCCTGCTGGTTATGTAGACACTGCTCCCCCCTATTTTTTGGGGGGGAGGGTGTAGTGAAAAGGTCTGGAGTAAAAAAAAAAAAAATAGTGGTATATAAAACATGGAGAAGATGCAGCAGACACAGCGCGGTATTCACACAGAGCAGGATGGGGCTACAGGCACAGCTTCAGTGTAAATTGTCATTAATGCCTCAAAATGGCCGGAAAACAGGAAGCTGTGAGGGAAAGAATGACACAGCTACGGGCGGGAAATGGAGGAGGCTGTAATGTATAGAGCTGTGAGAGGAGCTCAGACGGGGCAGCAAGTTTAATTATAACATCTATTCCTAATATTACACCTTACAAATACATGGTATGAGGCGTACTGGCAGCTTTACTAAGGTCCGCACGCTTTCTAATCCTAATGGGAGCGAATATTATCTGTTTTACTGCTGAAATACAGCAATTTCTCAGAAAGGGGTTAATCTAAGCCTCCCAAGAAATCCTCTTGTGCTGTAAAACCTGCTTTCTAAATGCACCATCTTTATCAGGATGAAGTAGAACAGAGAGCGCGGGAGGGATCGAACACTCCCCACTCCACCTCCTCCTCCCTTCAATGCCCGCCATCTGCAGAGTACCTGCTGACGAGGAGGGGGATGGGGAGAGACACACAGGCGGCGGCTGCTCAGTATAATGACGGAGATGGAAGAGCTCCTGTGTACACATTATTAATACACGCCGGTTGTCATCTCCCCCTGGTGTTCATGCAGCGGCCACATTTCACACCATGTGCACGTTTTAAACAAAGAGACAGGCTTATGTTGTAACAAATGAATGTCCCGCCTAAATTTCACATTGTGTACTCTATGTCTCGTGCACATGACAGAAGATATGCTGTGAACAGTCACAGGTGCATTTTAGTCCATGGTATAAAGCCCCTTAAACAGCAACTAGAAAAGCCTGCGCCCACTGCGTGATAATGTGCAAATATTGCGCATGGAAATGTTTGAGTGGGTGCAGGGCCTGCTCATCCCAGGCAGCCTTTCTCAGTGCCATCTTCACACAAAGACAAGGCCATTTTCTTTGTTTGCAATTAGGTCAGTTCACACCAGCACACTGCAGTAAGGACAGCTGAATAAAGTATGGCATGCTGTACTTTTTTTTTTTCACTGCATTGCATCACCGCTGTCCTGAATAAAAAAACAAATAATAAAGGTTACAGCGATATGCTGTGTTTGCACCGCTCCTGATAAAGTGCACTTCAGTAGCTGCTTTTTAACCGCTTTCCCACCGCCCTATAGTAGAAATACTGCTACAAGGCGGCAGGGGTGCGTAAAATCACATATATATATATATGTGTGTGTGATTTTGCATTTCCGGGTAGGCCTCAACTGTCAATCACCCGGCCGGTGTTTACTCGCCGGCACCCGTGATCACCGAGTATTACCAATGGGGGGAGAGAACTGTATGTAAACAATACAGTTCTCTCCCCTGTCAGCTCCAGCACACTGCTTTGCATGGCTCTGCATTACAGAGCCATGCAAAGCAGTGTGCTTACAGTTGAAAACACACACACAGTTTACTGTGAAACAGCACACAGTTAACCCTTTGATTGTCCCTCATGTTAACCACTTCCTGCCCAGTGCCATTAGTACAGTGGCAGTGCTTTTTATTAGCACTGATCACTGTATTGGTGTCACTGGGGATGTCAGTGACACCAAGTCAGTTCCCCTAGTGTCAGAATGCCCGCCGCAGTCCCGCTATAAGTCGCTGATCGCCGCCATTACTAGTAAAAAAAAAATTCCAGTATCTATACCACCTTTTGTAAATGCAATAACTTTCACGTAAACCAATTAATTTACACATACAGTATTGGGATTTTTTTTTAGCAAAGACATGGAGCAGAATACATTTTGGCCGAAATTTATGACGAAATTAGATTTTTAAAATGTTTTTACAGGACATGTTTAATAGCAAAAAGTCAAAAATATTGCTTTATTTCTCAAAATTGTCAACATTTTTTTTATAGCAAAACTAAAAAAAGGCACAGGCGACCAAATACCACCGAAAGAAAGCTCTATTCATAGGAAAAAAAGTACATACATTTAATTTGGGTGCAGCGTTGCATGACTGCGCAATTGTCAGTTAAAGTAACAGCGCTGTAATGCAAAAAATGACCTGGTCAGGAAAGGGGGTAAATTCTCTGGAGGGCAAGTGGTTAACAAAGCTGCTGGTGTGAATGAGCCCTTACATAGGCATCAGGTCAGTGGATGTGGCCTATTGCGCTGCCACCAATACCTAGTGAAGGGGGAGGTGTACACGTAAACAATGTGTAGCCGGAGGTGGGTGCACAGGTGCAGAACGACCTTGTGAATGACTAAAGGCTGAGGTCATTCTGCTCCTCTGCTGCCTACTCATTTTTCGATTTCTCCCTTGCCATGCATGATTCAAATAAGTTATTGACTAGTCAGTGCTGGCACAAACTAGTCTCAGTATTCAGTCATTCATGACCGAAGGCCGAGGTCATTCCACATCTTCACCACTCCCCTAGACTTTTGAGCCCTTCATTGGCGGGGTGGATGTAAACAAGCCCATACAAGCTACCCATAGGTATCCTCATTCATGCAGACATAGGGTTTCCACCTCAATCCTTTAAACCTGAACACATATTAATTACACAGGTTCTGGGGATAATTTAATGCAGATAAGGTTCTAAGCAAGTTTAATTACCAACTTAATGAGCCACAGAACCTGTGTAACTAATATGTGTTCAGGTTTAAAGGGATGAGGTCGCAACCCAAGTTTGGGCCCTCAGTGCTAGTAGAGAGATGAGATGAAAACAGTCATTTACACTGTCCAGTGCCTGGAGATGCCAAAGAGAATAATGGCCATTTCTTTTGTCACCATTGCTCTCTTTAGCAGCCTTTCTTCACATTTTTAACATGGAGGAACCCTTGAAATAACTTACCTTCAGGGAACCACTGCTGAAAATTATGTTTACATTGTTGTAATGGTCAATGTGAAGAGTACTTACATTTGTGGTCATTGTGAAGGATCTTCCCGTTATAGATAGCTAAAAAGATTATCTCTTTTTGTTGAAGGAACCCCTAGAAATGGCGCAAAACCAGATACCAACTAGTGTTCACCCATTATAAATCTGCCATCCACACCTACACCTCCTCCCTCTACGCTGCCAAACAAGCCTAATTTCTGACCCTCATCAATACCCTCTCCTCCAATCCTCACCGGCTCTTCTCTACTTTCAACTCTCTACTTTCTCCGCCCCCACCTCCACCCAGTACCTCACTCACCGCCCACGAGATTGCCAATCACTTCAAAAACAAGATTGACACAATTCGCAGGGACATCGTCGCTGCTCAGACTTCCACCCCACCTATCACCTCTCACAGGTAACCCCCTCAACACCCTTCTCCCTTGGCCTCACCACTGTCCAGACCTCCACCCCACCTAACATCCCTCACACTGAAGCCCCCTCAACACTCCACTCCTTCAACCTTACTACCACTGAGGAGGTCACTAAGGTCTTCTCTGAAGCCCACCTCACCACCTGCCCCCTCGACCCTGTCCCCTCACAACTCCTACAACCTCCCTCCTCCTCCATCCTACGCTCCATCACCCACATCTTTAATCTCTCCCTCTGTTCTGGCGCAATCCCCTCCCCTCTGAAGCACGCGTACATCACTCCCTCATCATACTTAAAAAGCCCTCCCTGGACCCCACCAACCTGAACAACCTTAGACCCATCTCCCTGCTGCCATTTACATCCAAACTCCTTCAGCACTTAGTCTATAATCGCCTAAGCTCCCACCTCAACGACAACAACCTCCTCGACCCCCTACGGTCCGGCTTCCGTCCCCTACACTCCACCGAAACTGCCTTACTCAAACTCACCAACGACCTGCTAACCGCCAAAGCTAATGGCCCACTATTCAGTGCTCCTACTCTTCAACCTCTCCGCCGCTTTCAACACAGTCGACCACCCCCTCCTCATCGAAAAACTACACTCCCTTGGCCTCAGAGACTCAGCTCTCTCTTGGCTCTCGTCCTACCTATCAAAACGCTCCTTCAGCGTTACCTATAACGCTACCACCTCCCCCTCACTCCCCCTCTCTGTTGGGGTCCCTCAAGGCTCTGTCCTCGGGCCCCTTCTCTTCTCCATCTACACCTCCTCCCTTGGCCAACTGATACACTCTCACGGCTTCAACTACCACCTCTATGCCGTCGACACGCAAAAACTATCTCTCGACCCCTCACCTCACCCCTTCAGTCTCAGCCCGAATCACTAGCCTACTGAACGACATATCAGATTAGATGTCGCTCCTCTGAACCTCTCCAAAACTGAGCTCCCAGTTTTCCCCCCAGCCCGCGCCCCCCCCCCCCCCGACTTCTCCATCACGACCAACAATGCCACCATCAGTCCCACCGCAAGCCAGAGTACTTGGTGTCATTCTAGACTCCAATCTGTCCTTCCAGCCCCAAGTGCAATCGCTAACAAACTCATGCAGACTCCACCTCCACAACATCTCCAAAATACGCCCATTCCTAACCCTGGAAACTACTAAGCAACTCATCCACTCCCTCATCATATTACCACTTGACTACTGCAATTCCCTCCTCACTGGCCTGCCTCACCACAGGCTATCCCCGCTTCAGTCGATCCTGAATACGGTGGCCAGACTCATCCACCTCACTAACCGCTTCGTTTCCGCCACCCCCCTCTGCCAATCCCTCCACTGGCTTCCGATTACCCAACGGATCAAATTCAAAAGGCTAACACTGACGTACAAAGCTGTCCATAACTCTGCCCCAAACTACATCACTGACCTAATATACAAATACCACTCAAAACGCACTCTCCGCTCCTCACAAGACCTCTTTCTCTGTAGTTCCCTGGTCTCCTCCTCCCATGCCCACCTCCAGGACTTCTCCAGGGCATCACCCATCCTATGGAACTCCCTACCCCAATCCATCAGCCTATCACCTACTCTCCTCTCCTTTAGGCGCACCCTGAAAACCCACCTCTTCAGGGAAACCTACCCCGCCCTCTGCTAATTGCAGATCTCCTCCACTCTTCCTACCACTCCATCCCCGACAGCTTTTCCTCCCGTATCACTATCCCCTCCCTCCTAGATTGTAAGCTCCAAGGAGCAGGGCCCTCGAACCCCTCGTGTATCGCATTTTATTGTTATTGTACTGTCTCATGTATTGTCTCCCATTGTAATGTACAGCGCTGAGCGAACTGTTGGCGCTATATAAATACTGTATAATAATAATAATAGAAATCTCTGGAGGGACCCTGGTTAAGAAACAATGCCACAGGGCTTAAAATTTCAAGTCCTGAGCTACTAGCCAGGCCTTAAGAGTTACTCGCCACCAACAAACACACACAAACAGAGACACCTGTACACACACACAGACATGTACATACACACACACACATGCATACACACACAGAAACATGTACACACACGCATAGAAACACATGTACACACACACACATACAGACACATGTATACACACACAGGTATGTACAGACATGCATGCATACACACAGATACATGTACATACACAGAAATACACACGCACAGACACATGTACATACATACGCAGACACATGTACACACAGCACATGTACGTACATACCCACAAACACACATGTACACACACACACAGACACATGTACACGCACACACATACATGTACATGCATACACAGACACATGTACAGATACACACATGTACATACATACAGACACATGTACATGCATACACAGACACACACACACCCCTATAAAAAGTTGCAGAACTTTGTTGTTCACTCACAGAGCTGGATACTGCACTCTAGGGGGTGGCAGAGAGCACAGCACACACTCCTTCCTTTGCTTTCACTGTGTTCAGCTATTGAGCAGTCTGACAGCTGCCGGTGCCAATGACAGATCCAGCCTGAGCTCCGGGCCTGCTCAGCAAGACGGCCCTGGGGGACACAGTCGCCCCCACCATAATTTCCACTCGCCATTGGCGAGCAAGCGAGTGGTAATTTCAAGGCCTGCCCTATGGAATCTTCAGAGATGTGGCACTAGGACATTGTTAGTGAGATTTGTCAACATCTCTGTAGGTATTTTAAGTTAGATTTCATTGCCCTGGGATAGGGAACACGATTCAGGGGTGTCCCTGTAAGTCCAGGTGATTTTACTCAAGAGATTTAGAAACAGAGTACTTTATAAAAGGGTTAATAAATATACACTGAAGGAAGTAAAATACATTAGGCTGTGGGATCATATATCCGCTTCATAGATAACATCATGATAAGGAGTACTAAAACACACAATTTGCTGAGCCTGTATTCCTTTGAAAGCTTCTATAATACATTCCAATGGTTACATAATAATCACATATTCAGCCGTTTTTTCAGAATAAGTATTGCAGAGGACATTTCAAAAGCTTGTAATCTAGCCAATACAATCATAGCACAGGCATTACATATACCTTGATCCATACCAGGGAATCAAATTACTTTCATCTTTAAAGTGTAAGCTCACCTTTTCACAAAAAAATGAAAAGAGGTAATAATACACAACACCCTTAGCACACCTGGGTCCCCACTGCACTTGTAAGCAGGTGCTTCCAAGTCAGCATTTCTCAGCCAGGGTGCCACCAAGAATCCCCAGGGTGCGCGGCAAATGTATTAAAAACCTGCCCTAACCAAGTCAGGCAGTTGCAGAGTAAACATTTTTCCCTGCAGTCTCAGCCTTTTTTAACAGCACTGCCGTCTGTTGCATTTTTTAGGCAGGCGTTTAAGCTGCACAGGTACTGTGTGCCATATGGGCTGCCCGCTTGTGTCCTGCCAACTGATGCCGTGATTGGTTGCTAAGGACATGTCGGGAGCCCCCAAAGCTTACTGGGACCTTTGCAGAGGTGCTTTCTGGGAACTCAGAGTGCTGCTCTTCTGCAAGGATGTGTAAGTTCTGTGTCTGTGTAAGGAGGCCACGCACTGTGAGAGAAAGATTCGGAGAAGGCTGGCCAGCGGGCTGCATATGAGCTCCTCTGAGATCTTGGAGGTAAAAAGCTAATTGCAGGCATGGATAGTAGAGCAGAATTGATTTTCATCAGATACAGCTTTTGGTTTAGAACCTTTTTTTTTGGGGGGGGGGGGGGGTCTTAAAGTGACATTATTGCTCTGTTACACATATTAAAACCTTTTGCTTGGGCTTTGAATTATGTGTATTTTTTTTTATAAATATATGTGCATTTATGTAGTGGTTTCTACCGATCTGTGAACTCTGTGTTTGTAACTACTGAACTCTGAACGCACAGTTTAGAGTTCAGTATTCTGTAACGCAGAGTTCAGTAGTTCGTAAGGCAGACTTCTCTGGCTTGCAAGCTACTGAACTTTACATTACAAACTACTGTTAGAATGTACAATTCAGTAATTGATAATGCAAATTTCAGAGTTCAGTAGTTTGTAAAGAAAGAGTTTGCTGCATTATAAACTACTGATCTCTGCGGAACAAACTACTGAAGTAGGTATACATAGTTCAGTAGTTTGTAAATTCAATAGTTTGTAAGGGTACAAACTATTGATCTCTGAATGCTGCTGTTACAAACTTTTTACATTTTTGACTGGTGTGCCCCAAGATTATGCCAAACTTTACAGGGTGCCTTGGCAGAAAAAAAGGTTGAAAAACACTGTTTCAAGTGTTCTAAGTGTTAAATGTTTAATTTCTGCATGTTTTAGCTTTGAGGTTCTCTAGGTCAAATATGTTTATGTGTACAACAAAATGTTATAATGTAACTTGCTACAACTGTTGTATTAGGTTGACCTGCTGGGTGGTGGACCTGAAAAAGAAGGGATAACTGAGTTGTTCAGGTTTTCTGTCTCTTTTCAGAACGTTACTTCCCCCTACAGGTCATACCATATAAATAGGGGCTCTTTAGTGCCCCAGAGAGAAGTCCATATTTACTGTCAAGGTGTAGCTGTTACTCTGCCAGTATGCCCCCTTGTGGGAGCTCAGTTGGGGTTCCAGTGGACAAGGATCTGCATCGACTTATGCTGGACACTAGGAGATTCATTATGGCCTTTGTGGATTTACTGTTCATGTGGACTCTTGCCTTGCTATGGATTACTCTTATGGACTTTACTGCTAAACTCAGGTATGACTACCTCAAGAGGCACCTAGAAAGCTTGCAGGGAGGATCAGCGTGGTGTGGCGGCAGTAATCACACAGAGTTCGGTTGTAATAAACTTGTATTAAGCAGAATGCCAAAGTTACACTCGAGTGGGAGAGCGCCGCTTATGGAATAACTCACAGTACAGTGCATTTCAAGATCTGGCTGAGGAGAAATGCCGACAGCGTCTGTGCAAAGAAGGGAGGCACTTTTCCTAGCAAGAGGGTCTCTATCCCTGCGCTAGCCACTCATAGATTGTGAGCCAAAACCCAGGGACAGAGATGGCCTCCAAGCAGGGGCGGACTGACAACTCATGGGGCCCCCGGGCAATAGGGGATCATGGGGCCCCTGTGTCCTTGCCCACAATCAAAAAAAGCCTATAAAAAGGTATCAGGGGCATTTCATGGGGCCCCCTACTGACCTCGGGCCCTCAGGCAGTGCCCGAGTTCTCGAATGGTCAGTCCGCCTCTGTCACCAAGGGTCACATGGCTGCACTATAGCCAACCAGAAAACTGCTTAATTGACTCAGGAAACCATATAGTAACCATGTTTCCCTTGACTTCCTCTCCAGGCTGTGGTACCACTCAAGCTGAGCGCCACCAACAGTGGAGAAAACAGATTGCACCTGCCTACAAGCTTTGTATGTGAATGTTTGCTAAATATGTCTTGGAGAACTGTTTCTGGGTTACCTTCAACTACTTTGGTAAAGAACTTTGTTGTTCAGTTCAGTTGCCTGGTCTAAAGTCCTTAAATGGGTGCACGTAAGGCATATCAAAAGGACAGGGCTTACAACAGTGGATTGAAGATGTTAGAGAACAGTACAGGGATCTAATGAGCAGAATGCTGTCCAGAGGAAGCTAGATTGCTGGTACTAATGACTATTGTATTTGTGTCACATTCTAATGCAGCCAACCATCCAGGAGGCGGGTGACATGGCGGAGGTAATGAATGCTCTGGTAGTGAAGGGGTGTTATGCTTTGCCCTTCACTAGCAACCAGTTCCCCACATGCTGGGACTGACACTACAGCACAGAATACGTAAGGACCTAGCCTGGAGTCACAGGAGAGAGATGTAGAGGGTCCCTGGGAAGGAGAACAAGCATGGAATTATGGAGAAGTGTGTTTCCTGTGTTCAGTAGTAACATACAGACATTGTCACTGGGACGGAGGTGATGGGACTGCTGAGTTTGTGGAGTGTGGTACATGTTCCGTGGTACAGAAATACTGCACACCTAGGGAGGAGTGTTCTTTAATAGTGTGGTGTATGGTGTGCTTAGTGTCAACAGAGTAGGAAGTTTGGCTATGGATAGCAAAGTGTTAACTGTGCAAGCAGCTCACTTCTAAATCTGGATAATCACCTTAAAGTGGGACTAAACTCACCTTAGATCCAGCAATACGGTGTCCCAGAGCTCCCCGTCTGGCCGCTGACATCTTTAGCTTCTGGGTCTCGATGGCCGGACGCTTTAATTGGCTGGGTGGGGAGTTCAGTCAGATTCCTCATTTTCAAATTTGTACAGTGAGTGGCTCACTCTACAGGGTTGGACAGGCAGGTAGGTAACTTTAATGCAGAAGAGAGAAAGCATGTCCCTTCTGCGATAAAATTCCTGCCTGTTCACCCTTTTTTAGTTTTTAGCTAAAGTTCCACTGTAATGTTGACTTTCACATGAGTTTATAGGCGTTAGCAAGTGCAGTTCCACAGTGTCTCCACTAGGGTGCCTTAAGCCCTGCCCACACACTTTTGTGGGCGATTAGCTGTCAATACCCATGCAGCTGGTGTAGCAGTCTAGGGATTTGAAATTCACACTCTTCTTTCCCCTCTTTCTTTAGGGCTTCTGAGATGGATCAGAGCAATTCTGATTGGTCGAAGCAGTCACACGCCAGTGCTGACCAAGCAGAATATCTCTGATTCATCCCTACAGAAAGCAGGAGGGTTAGGGAGGATGGAGGGTGTTAGATCACCTTTTCATTTTTTGTAAAACGGTGAACTTACACTTTAAAATACGTGCCATTAAAGATGAGCTAGGGCACCCTCTGAACTAAATTCTATCCAAACTTATAATTCGTGGGTTTTTTTGTCCAATCATCTGTGTGAATCTAGTGACATCTAGTGAATGTCATAGACTAAATATGGGTATATGTCCATATAAGGGCAATGACATCACCAGCATATTTACATGTGGCCCAGCATGTAGACAATTGCACAAAAAAATAGCACAACTTTGAAGTTCGGATAGAGGTGAGTTTGTTGGATGTCTCTACTTGCCATGCACATGGCTGTCGGCATTATAAACTGCAGGTATAGCTGTATTTACAATAATAATAATTATTATTATTATTATACAGGATTTATATAGCGCCTACAGTTTGCTCAGCGCTTTACAATATAAAGGGAGACAATACAGCAACAATACAGTTCAATACAAGAGTGTTAGGAGGGCCCTGCTCCTCGGAGCTTAGTATCTAATAGATCACACATAAGCCAGTGCGTGGGATAGAAAAGGCTGCAACAAGTCTCAACATTTACCAACTGTGCTTTCCATATTTTGTTTCCCTCTGCTGTTCCCCTCTGGACATTTTTCACTAAATGAAACGAGAACTGTAGGAGGAAGTGGGTACAGAGGAAGCTGAGAGAAGTCAGAAGGCATTTCTTTAGTTCATGTGAAATGCTCTCTTGTTCCCTCTTGTTTAACACTCCATACAGCTAAGGGACTATTAATATTCATTTTTAATATAGATGATTTATATAGCAAACATTTGCACCACAAGCCTGCAGGGTTAGGAGTGCCCTACTCCTGAGAACTTTACAACAGCAAATTCTGAGATTAGATGTACTAAAATAATCACATGACAGAAGAGGCAGAGATTTACAAAATGCAT